CACACATTACCTATCATTGTTATTAAAATGCCTTTTCTCTACTGTTTTCTCTAAGGGCAGCAGAGTCTAAACTCTATCCATAACAGATTCACTCAATATGCACATTCATTGAGCTTTTAGTTTGCTCTCAGTGTGTAGCAGTTTATGGAATATTAATAATTCTGTCCCTCCCCCTTGTTCAACCCTTATATATTATGGCATCCCAAACAGGGCATCTTCAGAGGTGGGGGGGGGGAAAGAAAGAATCTGTGATTCTTTCCAATGATAATGTATCATTTATCTTCTTTTAATTCAAGCATTTAAGCACTAGACAACTCCACAAGGGTAACCATACAAGATTTTCAGACAATGTGAAGTGTTTGAAAAGCTCCTTTCTTTATCTATTTTAGTCACTGGATGTCACACCAAAAAAAACTTGGGGGAAAAGAAACCTTTATCTTGGTGGCTTGATGCAGAGCTCAGTGATGCCAATTAAAAAGTATTACTTTACTTTGAAGAGCATAGACATTCTTATCTGGAAATGCCAGCATGCTGATAGCATTGTGAAGTCTACCTTTCCAGCTTCTCATACAATTTGTCACTAATCTCCCATCTGATATGCTGATTCTTGGTCCTGCTTCATGGAAGACATTCCTCTATCCGAAGGCATCCTCTTTTTCAAGTGTTGTCCAGTCCAAACCTTTTTTAATGACTAAGAACTCTAAGGAGGGAGAGCAGCAGCCTCCTCAAAGTTGCCCCATCAACAGTTAGCACATGGAAAGCAAACTGAGCAGGCACAGTCTTCCCCACAATGCATTTCTGTGTATTGGATTTATACCTAACTTACAGTAATTCTTTCTAAGTCTGCACCTGCATATATAAAGCACTTTTAGGGTTGGTTGTTGTTGCGTCTCGAGGCCCCAAGACCCACCCCCAAAATAAATGCACACGGACACTTATATTAGTTTAAGTTTTGTGGCAAATTTTTTGGCCACAACTTTATTGAAATATAATCACATGAGCGGTATTGGCTTAGGCATTGAGTCCCCATTATAACTGACTCCACCTCTCAGGGTGATCATCAAATGGGGTAAACCTGGAGGGGCAGGTGATGGCCGCACCTCCCCTCCCCACAATCCAACTGAGCCAATGCCTAACTGCAAGTTGTGACGATTTGCTAAGAGGTAGGCAAAAACCAAATGGCTAAAGCCAATCTGCCAAATGGAAAAAATTCCTACCCAGCCCCTGCTCCAAAACAGGCGACCAAAACCAAAGAAAGGCCAAGCGACTCTACCTAAACTAGGGAGGGTGGGCAGGTGTTCAAGAGTGCGAAGCAAGTGCCCCTCCTTGCATCACACTGCCGTTTGTAAAGCCCCTGGGATCACGCCACCCACTGGCTATTGGTGTGATCCCAGGGGAATGGCCAGGACTTCTTGCTCCTCCCCCCCCCCCCATTTTAACCCTATCAGGTGAGTTCTTGGGTCTCGCGTGCAACCAGGACCCTCTGTTATGAGGATCCCATTTGTTGTTTTCCAATCAAAGGGCATAAAAATTCTATGAATTTTTTTAAAAAATCACATAGTTATAGAATTGGAAGGAACTGTGAGAGTCATCTAGTCCAAGTCCCTTTCAATGAAGGAATCTCAACTAAAGCAGCCCTTTGGCCTGTTCTGCCCTCTGGCTTAGGGATGTATTCTCTGTTCTGGTGTGGTGTGTTTGTGGCCACCCTAAGTAATGGTTCTGAGGGTCCCATTTATTTATTTATGAAATATAACCATATGGTAATACAGATCTTTATCACTTGTGATTCCACTAGGCCAAAAGCAGCCCATCAGCCATACACAGTGCTCCACCAGGGCCTTAGTAAACCTGTTTGCTGCCTGCCAGGAACTACACCTAGAAGACCACCGTACAAGGCTTAGCAGGCTTTGTTCACCATGGTAGGCCGCAAACTGAAGTGAGTTGGGCCTGTGTGAGCAGGTGACTGCTGTGAACAGCCAGGGCTGCTTCTTCACCCAGCAGAGAAATACACATTCCTGAAAGAGGGTTCCCCTATTATCCAGGGACCCTTGATCTTTAACCAACTTTCATTACAGTACCCAAGTAACACATACATGCAGGCTGGAACCACTGGTGGAGGAAGAGGAGTGTGAGAGGAGCGCACCACCCCTGGCAATGCGATCCCAGTGGGGTGCCATCACAGCTGCCCCCCTGCCCGCACTGGGTGCAACGCCCCTGCAGGCGGCATGCCCCACCCCTAGGATGTGTGCCACACCCTTGCGGGTGGTACGCCCTACCCCCAGGACATGCGCCAGCCCCACCCCCGCCTGCTCTCCACCCCCCTGGTGCCGGAGCCTGAAGCTCCACCGCTGGCTGGAACTAGACTTCCATCCTTTGGAAATAGATAAAATGGTATTCTTCTTAGAGAGCTCTGCGCAACTGATCACATGCCAAGTCAAATGATAGGTTGGGCACCAGCACCTAGTCTACTATGGTTGGAGTTCTTGGGAGGTATTACAGCCATAGCTGACACTGGATCTCTAGCACACACTTTAAAAAAACAAACATGCAAACTCCCCCAGCACTGATGCAAGAACTGGGTCTGTGTGGCTGGACTCGCCAGCGCCATCACGACTTTTAATTTCCCTGCACTGCACTTCCCCACTGAACAGACTAGAAGCAAAGCACATTTAGTATTTAGTGCTGCACGTTGGTTATAGGTTTGGAATATCTTTCCTGCATTCATTGAAGCACAGACGTTATTGTTATTATTTATTAATTTTATATCCCACTCTTCACCCAAAGTTCACAGGTGGCTTTACAACATAAAAACACAAAATACATAGCATCATAGCAGAAGACATGTGCCAAACCAATTCTTTTTCCCATTTTGATCAATTCTCTACCTATATAAATGTATTAAAACTTAACTGAGGACGGTATAGATTTTTAAGTTGAGTCTAGGCAGAGAAACAAAGCGGAGGTACTAAAGCAACTTACTGATTCAGCAATGGGACCAAATAGAGGAGGGGATGCCATCATGAAAAGCAAATCCCAGGGAGTTAGCTTTTTAAAATAAAAATAAAAAAAATCTGACACCTGATCACCTCAAACACTAAGCACAGGTGTGAGAATTCTCTTGTGTTTGACAGTTGGTTGAACACAGCCTGTGATAATTAACTCCAAATTAGTTTCTCTGGCTCTGCTCACGTTATAGTTTGCTCTTGCATTTTGCAGCTGGCACAACAATGTTATACAATGGATAGTAGTAATAATTTTCTCTCTCTTCAGAAAAAATGAGGCTTGGATTATTTTCTTTGGGTCACTTGACTCTGCCCTCTCCCATTTTAGGATTGCAGTCAAATAAGGGGAAGGGATGGCAATTGGTTTCTCTGTGGATGAATACAAAACAACAACAACCCACAAGTATTTGGGTTTGAGTTAGAATGAGATAGCACTGTGATGGAGTGTTGTCCATTATAATGCACTCTGACGTGGTGCAATAATGAGTGGGAACTGTAGTGCATGAGCACTCTTACAAATTTATGCCAAACCTAACAACTCCCAGTGTGGTTTTTGATTATGGCTATGATGATTAGGGTGGAAAATTAATTTGGTTCTCATTTAAAAATGAACGTACAGTGGTACCTCAGGTTACAAACACCTTGGGTTACAAACACTTCGGTTTACAGACGCTTCAGGTTACAGACTCCGCTAACCCAGAAGTAGTACCTCAGGTAAAGAACTTTACCTCAGGGTGAGAACAGAAATTGTGCGGCGGCGGCACAGCCGCAGCAGCGGGAGGCCCCATTAGCTAAAGTGGTGCTTCAGGTTAAGAACAGTTTCAGGTTAAGAATGGACCTCCGGAATGAATTAAATTTGTAACCAGAGGTACCACTGTAGTTACGGTAATTTACACTTCCTGAAACAATACAGGAACTGAAAAGCAGCCATCTTTCAAAATACAAACTTCTCTGAATTTTGCAGTGCAGTTCTCCAACCTAGGAATGTATAACTGCACACACTAGGGCAAAGGTTAGACAAATGGATAGAGGAGAGGCTACTAGCCATGATGGCTATGTTCTGCCTCCACAGTTGGGAGCAGTAATGCTTCCGAATACCAGTTGCAGGAAACCGCAGGAGGGGAGAGTGCTCTTGTGTTCAAATTCCACTTGCAGGTTGGCCACTTGGAGAAGTGGATGCTGGACTAGATGGACCATTGGCCTGATCCAGCAGGCTCATTATATTCTTAAGTAATATGTGCTTTAAAAATGCACATATTAGTGAAAATAACATATGAAAATATATTAGGAGATATCGCTTGCAAAATGTGTATATTAGGCACAACTGGACTCAATAATGTGCTTGTTAGGAGAATGTCACAGTAAAAGGCTATTGAATTTGCACGAGGACTTTACAAAACAATAGCTCACAAACTGATGTGGGACCGTGAAGAACTGAACTAGGGTAGGAAAAACGTGAAACTGAAATTCACAGATTAGCCCATCTCTAATAGTGATGCACTAAAGTCATGGCAATCATTTTGTGTTGTTTTCGTTATTTAATTGGTCAGATTGTAAGCAATGCGAGATGACTAATAACTTTCTCTAATATTGTGAAAATTACATAGGTCACATACTTCATATTGTAAATAGTTCATTATCTCAGATCAGGAGTATTCTTCACCTGAGGAAATGCAATGTAATTAGACTTCTTGTTGTGGATTTATTCCTTCCTCAGAAGAATCTGATGCTGAGCAGAGAAGAATTCAGGCTACTGGTGTTGATAGATTATTAGTCAATTTTGGTATGCCTAATCTGTTGTGTCTAGTACAGTGACGAATGATACACCGAGATGAAAATCTATCTGGATTGTGCTCAGTTTGCTGTAGACAACATCAACTATGATTAATGTCCAAATATTAAAAGTAACGTTACATCATTGTTACGGCTTTAATGCTCAGAACAATATCCTGTTAATAACTGGTTTGTGTGGTTCTTTTCTTTCCCCCTTCTCTTCAGAATCTTTATCCTAGAGGATGGCAGCCTGAAGATATATAATGTTACCAAATCAGATGCAGGTGTATACACGTGCATAGCAATGAATCAATTTGGAGTTGCTAGGAACTCAGGGAACCTGATTGTGAAAGGTACTTTATTGTCTTCATCTGCGCTTTATGCATATTGAAAATGCACATGCATATTTGATTAACCATGCTGAGATGTCAGAGAATATAATAGTACTGTCAGAGGCACGGTTTGAACCAAATCTCCTGTCTGGAACAGGGCTGCTGAGATGCCTTTGGCAAACCGGAGGGTGCCTGGCCAAACTACAGGCGGTGCCAGTGCTTTGATATCATTCTTAGATGGTGATACTGACAACAAATACACAATCAGTTCTCAGGCTCCAGTCTGGATATTGGTGCATTTCAAATAGGTTGCTTCTCTTCCAAACATGTGATAAAGTATAAAGAGATAGTACGGTGAAATACAACTCAGATTCAGAATTTAAACACCCAGCCCTACGTAGGTGTTTGTAATGGGGTATAAATAAAGACACAAGGAGAGAAGGGTGTGAATGAGTGCACTAGCTCTGTCCTCATCCCAGTTCCCAGTGTCCTTCCATACTCCCAAGATATAGTTCTTCAGTGGGGAAGCCTCTTGAACTCATTGAGGCTTTTGTGCAGTGCAAAACCCTGGGGGGGGGATCTGAGTTCTATAATATGTGGGATCCTCCATGGTGAGTTCAGGACTGTTCCCTTATCCATACGCTCACACTTGGACATGCAGAGGGCATGAAGGAACTGGTATGAGGAGCACACACAATCCACCCTCACATATTTAAAGTTGGTGCCTGAATAGAGCATATGTCTCTCATGTACGCGGGTGGCGCTGTGGGTAAAAGCCTCAGCGCCTAGGGCTTGCCGATCGAAAGGTCGGCGGTTCGAATCCCCGCGGCGGGGTGCGCTCCCGTTGCTCGGTCCCAGCGCCTGCCAACCTAGCAGTTCGAAAGCACCCCCGGGTGCAAGTAGATAAATAGGGACCGCTTACTGGCGGGAAGGTAAACGGCGTTTCCGTGTGCTGCGCTGGCTCGCCAGATGCAGCTTTGTCACGCTGGCCACGTGACCCGGAAGTGTCTGCGGACAGCGCTGGCCCCCGGCCTCTTGAGTGAGATGGGCGCACAACCCTAGAGTCTGTCAAGACTGGCCCGTATGGGCAGGGGTACCTTTACCTTTACCTTTACTCTCATGTAACTGCATACAGTCATACCTTGGAAGTCGAACGGAATCCATTCTGGAAGTCCATTTGACTTCCAAAACGTTCAAAAACCAAAACACGGCTTCCAATTGACTGCAGGAAGCTCCTGCAGCCAATCAGAAGCCCCGGAAGCCCGTCAGATGTTCGGCTTCCAAAAATAGTTCACAAACTGGAACACTCACTTCCGGGTTTGCGACGTTCAGGAGCCAAAACTGCCAGGAATTAAGCTGTTCGACTTCCAAGGTACGACTGTATTTCTGAATTGTCTGGTAAGGGATTTGTTCTACTCAATAACATATCAGGGAGATACAAGGAGCATCTGGCATCAAGAGCAGAGACCCTATGAGGACAACACAATGAGAAGTTACATTGTGATTGCTGAGCCTGCCTTGTACCAGATCAGGCATCTTCTCCATGTGGCCAATATATCCCGTTCTGAGTGGCTGCAGCTCTCTAGGTTCTCAAATGGAGGTCTTTCATGTTTTAATGAGAGATGTCTGGGACTGAACCTGGTACATTTTGTCTGCAACGCATGTGCACCACCGAGCTATGCTGCTTCCTGAACAAATCACGCTGCGGGCGGGGCGGGGGGGGATAAGCCAGGGGTGCCTATTTTCTGACGAATAGCTCCTAAACATGAGGGGTGAATCCCACAATATACAACCACCACAAATCTGCCTGCCATGGCTTTCCCGTTCATTTCAATGAAGGGAACGTTTCTGCTAGAGGTGCATTCCCATGCATGGTCGGAGGCTTTTTTCACTAATTCTCCATTCAGCCTGTTTCCCTCCCACTCTCACACTATTCTCAAGGATGTACCAGCCATTTGGAGCAGCTCTTTAATGGGCAGGGCAGATTTCTGCACACAGGTAGTCTGTATCCAACCCATATCAATGAAGGTTTGGGCCGACATGAGCTTTTCATCAGCTGATGTGACAAGTATCTGTGTAGCAAAATATGGAGTGCCTGTGGACAGCCTTCTGTACAATAGCTTGTACTGTGCAGATAGGAAGCGTAGCCATACAAGAACTCTGCAGCTCTGTAGCTATGGGTGAACTCTGGCTGCAGACAGGCTTAAAATATATCCTGTCATCTTTGTAATGGCTGCTGTGCCTGAAGATAGGAGAGTGGGGGCAGTTCATGGCTGCCAGCTAATAGAGATTTTCCTACAGCTCAAAAGATACAGAAGCATTCTTAAGGGCTTGGGTTAAGCCCCCAGTGATAAACCCATGAAGAGGTTGTTTAAGTGCCAGGAAACAGCAGCTGTAGAGGGGCAACTTAAGTATTTGTGTGTGGTTTTTCCTCAATCTGATCTTGTTTGGCATTTTAAAATAATTGGTTTTCTCTACAGAAAGCTCTGCATTCTGACATTAAATTGTGGCTATAACTGATGAGGAATGGGTTTTAGGGGCAAATTGCTTTAAATGTAATTATCAGCCCTCTGCAAAAAAAGGGTGACACTAGATAACATGAACAATGATGGTATTTTGAAGAAAAATGGAGTGGCCATTATAGCTTGTGATAACAGAGTTGCGTGTCTCTCCCCGCCCACCCGCCAATATACACACTGATTAGTTTTATTTTTATAATGTCAAAATACTTTTACCTTGCCAGCAGCCATGTTACTGTAACACCAGTAGTCAAGTGAATTACATTTCACTTGGTTGTTATGAAAGTGGTAACAGTGCAGGTTGGATATCTTTTATAGCCTGGCTAGCATAGAGCAAAACTGCCCGCATTTAAGCTGTAGCTGTGATCCAGGGAATGCTGCAGCTAAGTCCATTGACCAAGGAATTTTGTTGTTTCTTCTTATAAAAAAAAACACAACCCAGCCTCATTTTACTACTCTTCTACCCTGCATGTGTCCCAGTGCTCATACACAATGCATTGCAGGCTCATACACAATGCATAAAAAGTTAACACACAAAATGACACTAATGAGGGGAATCCCCCCCCCCAATACAGCTCAAACTAGAGTCAGGGCCGAAGGCCACATTCACATGGCAGTATATTTTGTTTTCATGACTTTCCCTTGATAGGTTCTACATTATATTTGAGCTTTCACACAACATAAAAGCCACTTCTGGAATGATAGTGGAAAATAGTGCAGGTCTAGTGCTCATTTCCATGGGGGGGGGGGAATCTATTCGCAAATAATATGAAAATGAGTACCAAACTTATACTGGAAACAGTATTCTTCAGCTACTAAATGCCTGGGGAAACAGGAATCCTGAAAGTTAATAATGATGGAGACAGGAGCACCTCTCTAGGCATTCCACAACTACTTGGCTTTGGCCCTTGTTTATATATGTGGTACTCATTGCTTAACATTTTCAAAAGAGTTGTCTCCCCTCCGTCCAGCAAACATAAGCAGTCTTTGCTGTTCAAAAGTCAGAATATTTATTGGCAGTATTTATTGGCTGCAAACCCAAGTCCCACCCAGCAGGAGGCCATCACCACATTTGCAGCCATGCTAGGCATGGTGGCTGGGGCAGAGAGTAGGTGCCACCTCCAATGAGGGGCTTTCTGTGGGCTGCTGCTAGCAGGAAGCTCACCAGCAGCAATCTCACCCATCTGCCCATTCAGCAGCAGATGGAAGAGTGATCTGCCTGGCCTCATTGCCAGTTGGCAAGACTGGCAGAGGGAAACATCTCAGTCCAATCCAAACCCCTCCCAGTTCCTCTCACATGCAAGGAGGAGGAGGGAGGGAGGGAGGGACAGTGGGATTGCTCTGTTACTCATTCCTTTTGAGATGGCCATGCCTGTTTCTTCAAGCACCGTAAATATGTTCAGCAATATACTGTATATATTTGCTGAAGTTAGAAAACTATCATCCAAACTTTAGTTTCCCTTTTTTTCATCCAAACTTTAGTTTCCCTTTTTTGTTAAATGTCTGTTATTCCCTAAGAAAACTGTTTGGGGCTTATAAAGTCAGCTAAGGAACAGATAATGTCTTGGATTGTGTATATAACATCTCACCAGGAATTGTTTAAATATATATATGCATTTATGCTTAAATATATATATATATATTTATGCTTAAATATATATATATGCATTTATGCTTAGAATCATTGTCTTATCCATTGGTGGCTCTAGCAACTTAATGTAGCAAACACTTTAATTTTAAATAGCACATAAAAACCAGATTTCAATGCTGCAAGAGATGTGGCATTGCAACAGTGTGCACACATGTATATTTTTGTTCAATAAAAAAAATCCAGCCCCAGGTTATATGTGCAAGCAATTCTCTGCGCCCAAAGTTACTTGGATCCTCCCAGCATTTAAAGATTCTGAAGTGTTGTATTTTTTCATACAGCGGACATGTATCCTAATTGTGAATGATGTGACAATTAAATTTTTCAAACGTAAAGAAAAGCCTTAATTTGACAATTGCAACATTTATTAAAAATCAAAATAACAACATGCTATCATAATGGTAGTGTTTGCAGGGAGCATTTGTTTTGGTTCCCCTCTGGATAAGTTTTGGCTGTTCAATTATAGGCCTCATTGCTTCAGCATTATATTCAACTGAAATGTCAGAATTCCGAAAAGCATATCTAATGGGCAAATTAAGTTTATTGCTGCTTATTGAGTTGTTTATTCCTTATGATAAGAAGTCTTTATTATACCTCAAGTGCGCTGAGTGCATTGTCTATTTTTCTCTTTGGAAACGGGGCATGCTCCATAATGCATGTCTGCAGTTAGTAAGCAAGACAGATAGATAATGGGAACGTGGGAGCTTTTAAGAGGCATTTAGAAAGATTTGAGATGGAAATCTTAAGGAAAACCTCATAAAGACAACAGCTTGCATCAAGAGAAACAAACATCTTAGCATCACTCATAGCACTTGATGTGATCTGGCTAGACTGATAGACCCAGAGAGACCCAGCATCAGCCTTCTATAAAATATGCTTTTTTGTTTTGCTAAGACTGCAAGAATGCACACGTAGACTCTGGATAATGCATGGCTGAACTGCTTAACAAAGCAGAACAACAGAACAAAATGGAACAATGGAGCTCAGTGCACACATTGCAAGGCAGCGAGGAGTAAATGCGAGAGGCTCAGTAGGGATGAGCATTATAGCTGTGCCACTTCTGTTGTTGCTCCTGTTGCCCATAACTCATGGAGGGCATCTATGTAAAGTGGGGAGTTCTCCTGTACCCATGGACCCATCATTTTCTAATTCCAGAGGGCTATGGGAACGATGATGGGGGGGGAGCTACTGCACATACCCACACCCCCCACATATTTACTCTTTTCTGAATTCCAACACCTGCATGGGGCTTAGGCTTCAGGATTTTGTGGGTCCTCATATTTCCCTTTTTTAATTGTTTTTATTAGCAATTTCAACATAACAAAATATCAAAACATATCATATTCATTATTTGTCCCCCTTTTTCCCCACCCCCATCAAACCCTCCCTCCCCCTGAGACTTCCCTCAGCTCCTCTCTCTGATTTCTCAGCACATATTACTCTCTGCGTGTTCTAAAATTATACATATCCTTACATTATCTATCTACCATGTTATCAACCAATAAATTTGTGTATGTTTATTCAGAACCTGCCAAGGAGTCCAGTTCATTTTGTTGTCTTTTTAGATAATTTGTAAAAAGCTCCCATTCTTCCTTAAAGTCACAGTTGTCCTTGTCCCGCAGTCTGTATGTCAATTTAGCCAGTGGGTCCTCATATTTCCATGTTGAGGTGTACTCAGGGTGTTGGAGCCAGGTATTAAGTGGGTACGTTGTGGCAAAAGATATGTTATGCTTCAGAATATGCTTAGATGCTTAAGAAGCTCTGCACCAAAAGTACAGTTACACAAAGGCAGGAAGGAAAGACCAAGTCCACAAGTACTGTGTTTGGAATCAGGGTTGACAGAAGGGTACAATTCATCTTCATGCATTTACATGGAGCTTTCGTTGTAGTTTTTAGGTTCAGACTGCCTTGACCAGTTCATTCAAGATTCATCCTGATTTCTTTGCGCAAAGCTTACATGGTGATAGGGATGGGCTAATTTGACAATATTGGTTCCTTCTGTTATATAACAACAAGCACTCATTCATTTGCTTGTGGAGTGTTAATCATTCGTCCCTCCTATACTTTTCTATACATTGCCCCATCCCTTTCCCACCCTGTGTGTGTGTGTGGATGAGGATGTTTTGCGTGTCGAGGTCCCCAGGTCCACCCCAATAACTCACACATCACACAGAATTTTTGTTTAAGGTTTTTGGCATAATTTTGGCCACAACTTTATTAAAATACAAATTTGTGAGTGGTTGCTTAGGCATTGGTTGCGACTATCTGCCCCCACCATGGGGGACAGACTGACATTCCGCACGATGCGAAAGTCAGAATGGGGAATTACACTTGGGGGTTACGCAGAGCAGGGAACCTGCCCTCACCCCAAATGCAACCAGGAGCTCATTGCTATGGCCCGAGCCCCCTTGACAGAGTGGACAAGCAATAGTTAGCCCCCAATTCCTTTAACGGAATCCCTTGCAGCAGCAGCATTAGAGGGGCAGGCACAGCCAATCCATGCCCCTCAACCAACCAAACCATAAACCAATGCCTAACCGCAACCTTACAAGTTGTGACGATTTGCTACGCAGTAGGCAAAAACCAAATGGCCCCAGCCAACCAGCCAGATGGACAAAATTCCTACCAGGCCCCCGCTCCAAAGCAGACGACCCCATGACAGGCATAGCAAGGTCAAAGCGAACAACCCTATTCTAGGGAGGGAGGGACGGGCAATCCGCTGCACGGGCGAAAAGAGGAAGCCCTAGCCTCGTGCAAGGAGTTTTAGCATTTCTGGCTGTCAATCAATAAATGGCAACATTAATTTCTTCCCAACAACAAGGGAAGCCCCAAACGCATCAGTGGCCAACGATCAATTAGCCCGCCCCCAACTTTGGAGTGTCCTGGCGGCCCCCACCGCAACACGTGCTCTCCATGAAGGAGAACACGCTTTGCACTAAGGTATCATAGCCCTTTGATCCATTTGAAATGCACTAACCTAAAATTTCACTAGGTGCTTCAGTCCTTCCTACAAAATACCAGTTCAGGCACCCAGAATGACAGATTTGGAGAGAAAAGCATTGCACTTTCTAGCCTGTCCCCCCAAAACATGCAGGATATATTATATCTGGATATTTCCTGACAAATCATTTCATACTTTCTACAAGTTAGGAACAGTGGAGTCTGCTGTTTACTTTTTCCATTTTTCTAAAGACCTTAACGCTATTTTTAATCATAAAAAATACATCCCTTATATCTTCATTTCACACCTCTTTCTCCCTACTAGCTACCAGTACTTAATTCATACAGTATTTATCATCTTGACTAAGCCTGATGTTGCTTTTTTTTTGTATGCATATGATCCTCATGATTGTATAATGCTTTCATCAACAAAAGCTGTTTTTGCCTAAACTGCTTATAACAGGGAAGTTGTTATCTCTAATTTATCTGACAATCATGCCAATGAGAATGGAGGGGTTCGGGAATCAAAGCTCTAACTCATTCCCTTGTCCCTTAAGCAAACTAAAATTTTCGTTAATTAAGTGGCTGGGAGTGTAATCTAAATTACTTGAAAGGGTTTTTTTCTTCTTTCAACCGATGCTTTTGGGGGTAAACACAAGTCCTTTGGGATCTTGGTAGTTCTTTCTAAAGTAACTGATTTTTTTGTAAACTACTGATGCAACCAAGAATGACTTGTTCTGCCTTCAACAGAGAGGACTATCATTACTACTCCACCTTCCAATATGGACGTTACAGTTGGAGAAAGTGTAGTCCTGCCTTGTCAGGTATCCAAAGATCCATCTATCAAGGTTGCGTTTTCATGGTCTTTCAATGGAGATGTTATAGATTTTAAAAGAAGAATGAGTCATTTTGAAAGAGCCGGAGGAGTAAGTTTTACAGACACTTCTTCATATAACCAGTGTGTGTGTGTGTGTGTGTGTGTGTTTAACCATTCATAAATCACATGGGTCCCCTTGCCCTAAATGACATATTTTAGTAACATGCATTGGGAAATCGTAAAGCTATGTCTGTTTAATTTGTGATTAGTGTTGTCGTTTTGTTTTTGTCTCTGTGTTTAAAAAGATGATAGATCTAAATCTGCATTACCATTTATGCCCATTGCTGAATAGTTGGTGATAAATGTGCAGTGTGTCAGCACCAACTTGTGCTGTGCTGTTCCTGCAATGGCTATGGATGCGTGTCCCTCGGTCCCTTGGTTCCTATTGGACATGATTTGTCAGGTTAAGGCTCCTCAAAGTCTACAGTTAAGGCCAAATATTAAAACAGTAAGAAATAGCTACTAGGATATACATCAAAATCAGAAGGCTCCCAGCATGGTAGCTCTAACTAACAACAATCCCTAAAAGGGTTAACAACCTGGGTATCTGGAAATGTCTTTCTTACAACTGAGGATGAATCCAAATGTCTCAACCCACCAGAAGAAATGGAACATGTCCTTTCAAGTATGAGTGATAAAGACTTGTTCTACTGGAAATCTTCATATTCTGGGTCACAAAAATGCACCTTACATATTTCTATGGGCGTGCAGCTTCCTATGGCGTTTTTTTCTGATGGTTAAAAGACTTGGGTTTAAGTCTTAGGTGACCAAAAAGAAGCTGCTGTCTGGGGCAAAAGACAAGGATACACACACACCCACACCCCAGCAATTCCATGTGCGGATGGCAATTGAACGTGGAGTTGAATATTCAACACTAGTGATCTGACAACTGTCCTCACCACACCTGAGAAAAGCAGGGTAGTTAATAGGGCATAGGGCATAGGGCAGGCTTGGTGGCACACAAATTTTGTGTTCCAGTGCCTCATTGTCACTCACTACCACAGCATCAACTGCCCGGGGTGGCTGCCTCACTACTCTGTCTAATAATAATAATAATAATAATAATAATAATAATAATAATTTATTTCTACCCTAGCCACTCTGGGCGGCTTCCAACAGAAGGTTAAAAATACATTAAAATATCAGTCATTAAAAACTTCCCTAAACAGGGCTGTCTTCAGATGTCTTCTAAATGTCATATAGTTGTTTATTTCTTTGACATCTGATAGTCGCGTTCATGAAGTCTCCCAGTTCTGGTATCCTCCCACCAGAAGTGTTATTGCTTTATATTTTTGCTTTCAATGCTTGCTTTATTTGTGAAGGTGCATTAAAGGCATGTAAATGAAATAAACAGATGATAGCAGTATATGGTTTAAAACTACGTATTTTATTAATGCTTCGCAAATTACAGAAATATCCACTATAGAAAATGCATTAGCTGTCTATTTCTCCTCTTCTTATCTCAAGGAATCAGTAGGGGACCTTATGATAAGAAACATTCAGTTAAATCATTCTGGGAAATACAGATGCACAGTACAAACAGCTATGGACAACCTATCTGAAACAGCAGAAATTATTGTAAGGGGTAAGTCTATTATCTATAAAACGCCAGCTAACTGTAACACAGGGAATGATATTATATGCATCAGCATCAGAGAAGAGGTTGAATGAAATGTAAATAACTCATGATCTACAGCTCAGATATGTTTCTTACCACCATATATTCCCATCAGAGTAAAATTTGTCCAGTGGGCATCTAAGCAACTCAAATGTAAAAGCCGGCAGACATTATTTCTTCCTCACACTTTTTTCACACTCTAAAAATCTAGGATATATATGTCTATAGCTTATCATAGCTGTTAAACCGAATCCATTATTTGCTCAATAATCTTGTTAGAGGAGAATGCTTAGTTTGTGCATCCTATATCATAAACAAATATATACCTCTAAGGTATGTTTGGATCTCAAACTTTCTTCATTTCAGAGCCCGCTTAAAAATTGTATTAGTTTTTCCAGGCATCTGTAGAATACTCAATTTTAGTTAATCTTATTATTATTAGGAGTGTGAAAACCACACTGTGTTTTTAAAGCTTGGTGGTTGTGATTTGAATATTTTCCTGCTCTTTTGGTTTCTTATAATTGGATTCAGGTGTTTTTTTAATTTTGCAGGAACTGGCACATAGTCTTGTGCGCATCCCATCCTGAGATCGGGTGATGAAGGGCAGGTTAGAAATACAGGGTGCTATTCTACAAAGTTTTACTCAGAGTAGACCCATTCATAGTAATGGATATGATGAACTTAGGCCCATTAATTCCAGTAGATCTGCTCTGAGAATAGCATTGTAAGGGGTGGTGCTTGCACAGTATATGTGCTTTATAGATTGATGTCAGACTTCTCAAGAGTTCCTCTCACAGGACACTCCTACTAGAGGGAGAAGCTAAATAAAATAGGAAAAGAAGTTTGGGTTTGGGAGCTGGTGGCCTTTGGGGCCAGAGATGGCAGAGAACTATTTTGGATTATTAAGAAGTGAAGAGAGAAGTATTTTGTATAGTTTAGGTTGTAATCTAGGAGGAATGGCTAGACAGACATCTGTGTTGTGCCATATGGCCTTAGAGCAGGGGGTTGAACCAGCGGGTTACTTCACTTCTGATTTCTAAAAATATCTCTAATCAATCTAGTAGTGGATATCAAATGCACAACAGAGCCCTAAAGAGCCGCACCGAATACATTTCAAAGTATTCTGCTAAAGTAAATGTGCATTTTCTTCCTTTTTAAATAAGGCACTCCAGGTCCTCCTAAAGATGTTAACATTGAACATGTTTCCAGTACAACGGCAGTGCTAAACTGGAGACAAGGAACAGATAATAATAGTCCAATCCAAATATACACTATTCAGATAAGGACCCCTTTTTCAGTTGGGTGGCAAGCAGCTTCAACAGGTATACAGCCACATTTCTGACTTACATTCTATGCTATAGTTTCACATTCTTCCATCGCTAATCATTTTTCGCTTTTATGTTTAGTTCCTGAAGTTATTAATGGAAGGACCCACACGGCAACAGTGGTTGATCTGAACCCTTGGGTTGAATATGAATTTCGTGTTGTGGCTGGCAATAGTATTGGGATTGGAGAGCCAAGCACACCATCTGAGCTACTAAGAACTAAAGCATCCAGTAGGTTTCCTGAAATTGTCTTGAAGGGTTGAGAAACTCCTTAAAAAATGTAACACTGTTCATTTCAAAAGTACAGTGGTACCTCGGGTTACATATGCTTCAAGTTACATACGCTTCAGGTTACAGACTCCGCTAACCCAGAAATAGTGCTTCAGGTTAAGAACTTTGCTTCAGGATGAGAACAGAAATTGTGCTCCGGCAGCGCGGCAGCAGCAGAAGGCCCCATTAGCTAAAGTGGTGCTTCAGGTTAAGAACAGTTTCAGGTTAAGAACGGACCTCCGGAACGAATTAAGTACTTAACCTGAGGTACCACTGTAAGCCATAATGGCTCACCTCTACTGCTCAGTGATGTTGGCTTTGGAGATCGTTATTCAAATGTTACGTTCTTCTGTATTTTTGTATCCCTGTTATCAGCTAAAAATTGACTTGCAATTCAAAATATTGTGAGTGGGGTGTTTTTTTTTTGTTTGTTTCTTTTTGCGGGAGGGGGTGTCCAGGAACAATGGAAGGGTGTTTGACAGTAGCCTCTCCTCCCTCTGATCTCTTATTCTGAAGGGGTTCCCAACTGATTCCCAAGAGTCCAGGTGTGAAGGAAGAATGGCTGGATGCATCACCCCTTCCTGCCGATTAGCTTTTACTTCCTTAGGCATCTGTCCTGGGAGTAAGCCCCATTAAATGCAGAAGTCAGAAGGCAGTTCATCCCTGTTTTAATGATGCACAGAGCTTTTTATTGCTAAGTACTGGGAGAGCATAATTCTATCACTGTACAATGAATGGATAAGGAAAGTATGTTTCTTATTATGCTGCACAGACTATTTTATACACTGTAGAATTCAAAACGATAGGGTTTACAAAGTTCCTTTAAACTTTGACCTTTCATAGACAGCTTCATGTGGCTTCGATATCCCCTCATTAGGACTGTCAAAATCTGTAGAGTAGACGATACAAAAATAGAACAGAGTCACTGGTGTTGTGTACAGGTTAAAGTATTGAACCAAAGAGTCCTGCAGATTTGGATAAACTCTACTCACTTCACTACTCAGATGCCCCATAGGCAAAAGGGAAACATTTCTGTTGTGCAGCTGGCTGCTAAGATTCTAGATTACTAATTAAAATCATCATCAGAGTAACAGGTGTGGCAAATAAAGAGCAATGAAAGGGTGAATGAGAAAGTCTGTCTTATAAGGTCTACATTGCCAGCTAAAACTCGATCGAGCATTTGTAGATTCCTGGAGGCAAATGAGCCACTGCTCATTTCATTAAAATGGAGCTGAGAATTAATTGCGCTTCTGCCGATGCAGTTAACCGTAAATTTTCATCTGCTTCTCAACTATGACCCAGTTGAGGCTTTGTTGAGCAGTAGTATAAATTTCTTTCCCATGCAAATACAGTAAATACTGAACTCATTTAACACAAGCACTAATTGAGCATTAACTGGTTCATGGAACAGTGGAATGTTAGTTGAGCTTGGCTTGAAAGTCTCCTTTTAATTCTTCATTTAGTTAACCACCCCATTTCCTTTTCCTTCGTAAACTTTTGCAGATCTAACACAAATCAATTGAAGTGAACGGCAGCAATGAAAAAGGATAATGTCTGCCCCCCCATTCCCAAAATAATGTGCTATTTTCATGAATATGGCATATCTGAAAATAAAATAACTCAACAAAACAAGAAGTCAGCGACCCTGTGTAGATTTCTAGTTGAGTCTATTATGGTCAGCCTACTACTAATTTAAAGTACTTAGTGGCTTACCACGTAGATCGTTCCTGTGGCATTGCACATATCTAAGCCACTGTCAGCTTATCTCAAGATCCACTATAATGAGATGATCTATACAGGCACATTAGTTTTATCCCCATAGAATCCACTCCCCAAGTGTTGAGGGAACCCATAGCCCAGTTGAGAACTTATTTGTAGTTCAGCCATGGTCAGTTTTAGAACTTATCTGCATTGGTGCAGAGAGCAATGGAACCATTGCCAACCATGCTGCTAAACCTCGCTATTGACTTTGGATCTCATGTATTGATTTCTCTTTTCATATGGTCATTCAAAGAAGGATTTACAAAATTATGAATGCCTTTTTAATTTCGCAAATTTGTGATGTTTTTGTTTTTGCTTTACCCTCCTAGTTCCTACAGCGGCACCAGCAAATGTGAGTGGAGGTGGAGGAAGCCGGTCTGAGCTCGTCATAACATGGGAGGTAATTTGTAAATCAGCTTCAGCTCTTCAATATAATGAAGGGAGATTACAATACAGGTGTAGCAAAAGCAGGTTTTGTTGCACCACTGGTAGCAATTTAGAGAAGTAAACTGTGAGCAGCATGTTATAAAGATGTTTAGAAGTCATCTGTAGCCCTCTTATCATCATTATGCAGAAGGCAGCTTAACACTCTAATCTGTTTGGGTATTTTGCACATTAAACATTCCACACAGTTTTGTTTGCATGTCTCTTGCTGTTGTTTTCTCCCATTTGGAATATTATGCTGCCAAGGCATACCCTGTCATGCATAAAAGGAGACATGGCCTTTCAGTATCAAATACCACTCAGTGTATGTTTAGAAGGCAAAATCAAATACCCAAAGGATAATTCATGCTGAAGGAAATAAGTTCAGCTGAAATCCCTGAGACGTAGTTCCAACTACGAGTGGCTTTGGAGGTAGCTGGAGAAGTTCCCAAACCAAATGCACAATCACTTCTGCAGTCCAGAGGTGGATCTCCTTTAAATGTTCAAATGGGAATTGTCCATAGCTGTCAACGTTTCCCTTTTTTTAAGGGAAATTCCCTTATTCCAAATAGGATTCCTCGCAAGAAAAGGGAAAAGTTGACAGCTATGGAATTGTCACAGGCTATACCTAGGATGTGGGCACTCCCCTTGAGCAAGTTTCACTTAAAACATTACAAGGTACATGAATTACTGTTCATTTGGCCCAAAGCTGGTCTGACTACAAGCATGCATGTCTTTTATTTATTGATAGGATTTCTCACCTGCCCTTTCTTACCCAGGGTGGGTTATGACAACGTAATACACAATTATACAAAAAAAGCTAAAGTGTTTGCCATCATACAGTGAGTAACGCCATTCCATATTGAGTTGAATAGTGTTCCTTGAACACAACAGGTTTATAACATTATGTGTGGCTTAGAAAATGGATAAGGTTACGTTTTTCTTCCTGTCTCATCATACCAAGAACCCAGGGTTGTGTGTGAAGACCCTCAAGACCTTCCAAAGAAAGACACAGTTGACACCAATATTAGTTTAAGGTTATTGGCATAGTTTTGGCCACAGCTTTATTGATTACAGAATGTGAGTGGTTTGCTTAGGCATTGGTTTGACTAGCTGCACCTACACCTCTGGCAGGGCAGCACTGACAACTGGACACTGGCAGAAGTCAGTAAGGGTAAACAGACTGGGGGAGCATTGGTCTTACCACAGACACACCCTCACCCCAAAATGCTCCCTGGTGCTCTGGCTTGGCCTTAACCCCTGGAAGGGGATCAGACAAAAGAATGGTGAGCACCTGGATTCCTTTAACAGAATATGCTATCGCACATTGTTAGGGGCAGGTGTGACAACCTCCCCTCAACTCCACATTGAACCAATGCCTAACCACCAAACCTTACAAAGTTGTGATGATTTGCTACGCGGCAGGCGAAACCCAAGTGGCACCAGCCAATCAGCCAAATGTGAAAATTCCTACCGGGCCCCTGTCCCAAAAACAGACAACCCATAAAGGCATAGCAAAGTGATAATGAATCCTAAATATAGGGAGGGTGGGTGATCCAGTGCACGGGGCGAAAAGAGAAAGCTCAACGCAACGTGCAGCAGTACATATAGGTCCCTCGGTTAATGCATGAAACGATCCCATTGGCCAGAATTATCCCAGCAACCGAGGGACCACCAATCGGGTTCTTGTGGCTATCCAATCGCTCCCACCCACAACAGCAGTGAGGTCAGTCTTGATGATCTCACCACAACACATGCTGTCTGGGAGGAGAATACGATTTACCACGTAAGTTTGAATAGTGGGAGATTTTCTGTATAGACAAATGAAAGTACTTCTTCAAACGGCACATAACTAAACTATAGATTTCAAAATAGCAAGATGATCAACATGGATGGCTTTAAAAGGGGATTTGACCAAATTAACTGAGGCGAGGGTCACCAGAGGCTACTAGTCATGCTCATGGTTTGTGCGTGAATACCAGTTGCTGGGGAACACGAAAGTCATGTTCTGGCTATGGGAACCTCATAAGCCTCTGGTTGCTTCTGAAATAGGATGATGGCCTAGGCATACCTTTGGGGTGATTCAGTAGGGCTCTTCTTATGTCAAGTTTTTTAAGCCAGAAAATTGACTACACTAAATATAGTAAAAGGAGATGATAAATACTTGAGTTTCCAACCTAAGAGGTTCTTTCTGCAAGTATTTTCCCCCCAAAGTTAAAGAAAAAGAACACTTTTCATTGCAAAATGTGTAAATTGACACAAATAAAGTGGCAAACTTTTTCTTTTTCTGTCCGTAGTTCACTTATGCTGTCCTCACTCTCGGAATTTACTTTACAAAGATGGGTATGGCAAGAGTCCAGTGCATCATTTGAGCTGTGTTCTTTTAACAAACAGCTGCATTACACCCCACTTTCTGAGAGAAAATGTTTCTCTGTCAGCATGTGACAGGGAACATGTAAAATGTGCTAGTCCTTTATTCCCATTGACTTGACAACTGACAGTTGCTTTCTGTGCATCACTCCAGAAAAAGAGACCAGGAACAAAGAGAGTATTTTGACTTATTAGGGAGAGAAAGGAAAAGAGCTTAGGCAGGAAGATGGACTTTTGGGGTTTCAGAAAGATTTCCAGAAATGACAAAAAAGACCTCTCTTTTTAGCATTCAGTAACTTTGTACCTTTTGGTTTAAAGGAATATGAATACCGAAAAATTGTGCCACATTATAAATTATGGGTTATTTTTAAAAAAATGTATTTCCCAGAGTGCACACTGCAGCATTTCTTTTATCATATTTCTCTAACTGCTTTATGCTAGAAAAGTGACTCAGAGCACATGCAAGTTTCAAAAATGCTGCGCATTAATTGGATTTTAACACCTGAGTTTTTATTTTGCAAAACAGAACACCACAATTCTGCTTTACTGAGATTAATTGATCAACCAGCCAGGATAAATTCAATATTCCAGGAGCATCTCCCCAAAATTAAATAATCCAGCAAGTAGTATGAGACATTAGGTAGATTGGCAGATGATAGATATGCACATTTCCTGTCTCTCTAATATCAATCACTGTTATATATTGCAAGTCTGAACAAAGAACAACAGCAAAAAACCACAAAGGTGTGATTACTTTTCTGGTATGTCCAGTAAATAAATCAATATTACTGCTGTATACCCACTTGTTGCCACAAGGGTAAGCAGTGAATGCTAAAAGCAATTAAACAAACAAACATTCTAGCTATACATTTAGCTACTTCCATCCATATCCAATTCTCAATGGCATAGTATTGGTACTTTCTTACTGTGATAATATCTCAGTGCTTTATTGTATCATTGTATATTGATCCCCATGAACATACCTTCGTATTCCGCAGTGTCTATATGAACCCTAAAGATGATTAGTTCCTCTAATTTATTTCGGGATTCACCAACTTAGTTGGCTTTTAATGTTCTTCCTCTACCTTTGAAGCAGTGGTTCCTTTGAAGTGATTATGGGTAAGATGTTTGACTAAAGAGCACAGATGAAGCCTTAATGGCTCCAATATCCCACCAGTGTTTCTTTTTCCATAAAGTATGTATAAGGAAAAGGACGCCCTCATGAAAATAATATCAACATAGTCACCAGTGCATATTTTGTCCATTTGGTTTATTAAGAGAAAGATTGCTTTGGCCATACTTACAGATAGAAACATAGCAATGTTGAAACTATAGAATGTTAAAACTACAAAAATAAAATAAAAAATACTGGTTATATTCTGGTTACAGATAGGTAGCCGTGTTGGTCTGCCATAGTCAAAACAAAAAAAATTCCTTCCAATTCGCATGCACACGAAAGCTCATACCAAGAACTAACTTAGTTGGTCTTTAAGGTGCTACTGGAAGGATTTTTTTTTGTTTTGGTTTGGTTATATTCTGGTGACACACACTAAAATTACATGCAAATCTTGGGGCACTATGATCTGGGAAATGGCAATGGGAAAATGATTAACCCTTTCCCCAGACCTGCCAATTTGGACCGCATTCCCATGTGAGCTTTTAGTAAAATAGAAATACCAGGAGGTCCATTCATGAATCTAGCGTGCCTCATGTAGCATGGCCCAAAGTTGCAATCACCAAGTTGGTGTACACTTATATAGCAATAGTCACTTCCATTCTGTTGTCATTCTTTAAAAATTAGCAATTCAGCACTCCAAAGTGTGTGTAGGATGGTGGAAAATCAAAAGCAAAGTAAGATGATAATGAAATGAGTCTAATTTTTAAAATGTAGTGCATGCTTTTAATGCTGCTGATTAGGTCTTTTGTTTCTAAATTGATTGCCTCAATTGATTTATTTTTATTGTTATTTTCAATATTACATTGACTGATGGAGCAAACATTATTATCTTCTTGGAAGCACAGTCAACCAAATCAATACAACTAAAATATACTGATAGAGAGAAGATTCAATTAAAACAGCATATACAGTGCTTGCAAGTGGTTATTGATTGATTTTTATGCCTCTTGCAGTCAGTTCCTGAGGAACTACAATACGGGGAAGGTTTTGGCTATATTATTATGTTCCGGCCTCTGGGCTCTGCAAGCTGGACAAAGGCAGTGGTTGCCTCAGTGGAGGCATCCAAATACATCTATAGAAATGAAAGCATCACACCCTTATTCCCTTTTGAAGTGAAAGTGGGAGTCTTCAATCATGAAGGAGTAGGCACAATGAGCCCAATATATATTGTGTACTCTGGAGAAGACGGTAAGCAAAATCATCCATGTCTTACCATTTTTGACATTGTTGGGTCTTCTTACTTTGGTGTAACTGATATCCAGACCATATTGTGAAGCGTTTGACATCACATCCTAGACAGTGGCATGGATGCATTGCTGTGCAATAATGTCATGGTGGTTCAATAGCTAAATTCACTACATCATAAGAAGTTGGTTGCCACAGGAAGTCTTTAGTTGTGAGAGATCAGTCTTTTCATGATTTCTGCAGATTTATAACCCCTTCTGTTTATTTTTCATTATAACAACTTGGTATTACATTGTGGTCTCTAAAATGTATGTTTTCTGTGCCACTATTGCTCTCCCAGAGCCACAGATAGCACCAACTGGAACCATTGTACAAAGTTTCTCAGCCTCAGAAATAGAAGTCTCTTGGAATCCTGTTGTGTGGAACAGACATACTGGAAGGGTTCTTGGCTATGAGGTGGGACACTTCATATTAGATTTTTGTAGTCAAATATAGCTGGTTCATTCATATATAGATATATACTACCTTACCCTTCTGTCCCTTTTTCTTTTTGCCCCACAGTTCCCTAGGTTCTACTGTAACCTTTTCTGTTCACTTGCTGTATGCCAACATTTCATGTCCATTCTTTCTTGTCCCTCTCTGCTTCCAGCCTCCCAGTCAAGCTCCACTTTTAACTGCTATTTTCCTGATTTTCAAGATCATTTCATCCCATTATTCTATTTGACTCCTCCTTTCCAACACACCATCTTCTCTGCTATTTCATTAAAAGCCTTTCTGGTTTCCTGCCTCCTGAGCACCAGCATTCTTGCCACACAACTTTTCAACCTCAACCTCTCCTGCTTTTGTATACATATCCTCTAGTCCAATGCCTTGCATGTGGTTATTTGCAGACAGATTGGTCTCCTTTCAACTTTGAATAACATTTTGGGGTTGTTGTTTTTTAGACAAACTCGCCCTGTGCAATTAGAATCTCTGTAAATATTCCATGGGGACATGGGTGGCACTGTGAGTTAAACCACAGAGCCTAGGACTTGCCGATCAGAAGGTCGGCGGTTCGAATCCCCGTGACGGGGTGAGCCCCCGTTGCTTGGTCCCTGCTCCTGCCAACTAGCAGTTTGAAAGTATGTCAAAGTGCAAGTAGATAAATAGGTACCACTCCAGCGGGAAGGTAAACGGCGTTTCCGTGTGCTGCTCTGGTTTCGCCAAACCAGAAGCAGCTTAGTCATGCTGGCCACAGACCCGGAAGATGTACGCCAGCTCCCTCAGCCAATAAAGCGAGATGAGCGCCACAACCCCAGAGTTAGCCACGACTGGACCTAATGGTCAGGGGTCCCTTTACCTTTACCTTTAAATATTCCATGATTCACTGGAGGGCAGCTTACAGATTGGCAATGGGAGGTAGCAAATTGCACTGTCTGTGCATTCTATTATCTCAAACCAGATAAACCATTTTCTTTCTTAGATTCCTTTCTTTAGTAGCTTTTAATAGCTATGGGTTGCATCCAATGTTGTCAAAGCACTCATGGAATGATTTCCCTCTCTTTTGTATCCCCATTCCCCCCACCCCAAGGCAGGGGGAGCTGTTCTGCAGGGTTTGTGGAAAGATAGTTTGCAGTTTTGCAAACCTTGACTTCACACACAAAAAGGGCCCAAAAGGGTCTTGGCTCAATACTAGTGAATGGTCTCTGCATGCAGGAGGTCCCAAGTTCAATCCCTGGCCTCTCCAGGTAGGATTGGGAGGTACTCTTGTCTAAAGTCCTGGAGAGCTGCTGTCAGGGTCTCACTCAGTATAAGGCAGCTTCCTATGTTCCCAAGCCTGCTGAAACCTCCTCTTGTGTGGGGATGGTGCCACTGTAACTACATTTGCTGCTGAACCTCAGAGTGGATGGTCTAGTTCAGAAAGCACATGCTCTTCCACATCAAACAACTGTTAGAGCTCAAAGGGAGGCCTAAGTCAATAGTTATTGAATTGTAACTACATGGGCAAGAAACATAATAATTAAGATCTCTCTAGGAATCCTCTTTCATTTCATTTCTTTTTCCTTTTTCCTTCATGGTTTAATTATAGATCGACAAGCTCTTAAGCATTACTCACCTTATCAAAGTTCCCCCTTTGGATAGCTATAAAAGCAAAGGAGTCCTAATTTGTTTATGTGTGGGTCCCCCCCCCGGTTTGTATTCAGGATACAAGAAATGCTATAAATATTCATGCCTGCTGTTATATCCTGACAGCTTCAATTACAAAATCAGCTGTCTCTCTTGAAGCATTACTTGTCTGCTTGTCTTCTTTCCAATCAAGGTTGTAATTGGAGAAAAAGCAATGAACCCTTGCTCTTAAACTTTAGGTCTTGTACTGGACGGACGACTCAAAGGATTCTGCAACTGGCAAAGTCAGAGTCAACGGCAACATCACGGCCAAAAATATCACCAGCCTCAGGGCCAATACAATGTATTTTGCCACAGTGAGGGCTTTCAACACAGCTGGGACTGGACCATCCAGTGTCCCAGTTAACGTCACTACAAAAAAAGCACGTGAGTATCTTAAACAGCCAATGACTTTTTTTAAAAAAAGCACAAGTGCACTTGACTCACAGTAACCTGCTGCAGCATAACTTTGCCTAGTAGAAAAGCATCATAAAGTTCCACAACTAGTATGTCTGTCCTATATTTCAAAAGGAAGTGATGATACTGGACGCTGAACTACAATAACTGATAAAGTTGCCACCTTTTTTAAAAAAAATGCAGTGCTTAAGTACTGCATGGGTATTGGATATATATCTGTGTGTTACTAAATGAAAAGTCCTCCCCTTCATTCAGAGACTGATTGGGCACCCAGCTTTCCCAACACGATTAAATCAATAATTGCAAGCAGTACACCAGCCAGTTCACTTCACCACATGAAGTAAACCACACAATTTAAAAAATTTCAAAGGGATTAATGTGGGTCACCATGAAGTGCCCAGCCCACCATATTTCTTTGCTGTCCAAGTGCTACCCTTCCTTCCCGGAAGTACAGGCAGCTGTGCAAGGCAGACCCCTAAGAAAGCAACACCTTGGATTGGGAGACAACCAACTCAGATGGAAATGGCAGGCACCTCTGTCTGTTTCAAGTCTTGGGCTAATTTTCAACAGCTCCTGTCCAGGAAATGAGTTGCCACAGGCCTGCAGTTTCTCTACAGGATTTATTGCAAATGCTTTCTACAGATGCACCTCTGGGGAGGTGGGGGAATGATTGTGTCATGAACTGTACTTTTCAAAAGCATGGGGCAGAATACTCTTCCATTCTTCTCTTGCACAACTCTCATTGAGGGCTACCTCGTGTTACAAAATTCCTGCATGGAAGATACGTGCACTTAACAGCAGCAGGTGGCAGACTAGGGGGTCTAATAATACAACACCAACATTCGGCACACATACCCTGCTTCTCATGCTCCATTCTCAATAACAATTGCAGCATCCTCTGTGGTGCCCCCCAATGCTCAGCACCCAGTGCGACCAAACCGGTCATGCTTCCCTAAATTGGCCTCTGCTAACAGTAAGCAGTTATAAATCAATGAATTAAGTCCAGTCCTTTTAACAGAATCTAGTACAGGGGTCAACAACCTTTTACAGACGTGGGCTGGTCCACCCTCCCTCAGACCATGTGGTGGGCTGGACTATATTTTGGAGAGAGAAAAATATGAATGAATTCCTATGCCCCATAAATAACCCAGAGATGCATTTTAAATAAAAGCACACATTCTACTCATGTAAAAACACCAGGCAGGCCCCACAAATAACCCAGAAATGCATTTTAAATAAAAGGACACATTCTACTCATGTAAAAACACGCTGATTCCCGGACCATCCGCGGGCCGGATTTAGAAGGTGATTGGGCCAGATCCGGCCCCTGGGCCTTAGGTTGCCTACCCATGATCTAGTATGTGTATCATTTGATGGATTTTGTTACTTGTTTGGGAAATACTCCTTTTGTCATTTTGAAGGCTTGATCACATTTACAGCTGGAATTTCTACTAACCTTCAGTTGAACAAGGTGCATGTAACATTAGAAATTTCAGCACCTTAAGAATAGCAGGAAAAAGAAAAGGGTGAGGATATGAGATGGTCCTTTTGTTTGTTCTTCCTTTCCATTGTTAAAAATGGAGGAAAATAACATTTTGGCTCAAGGAGCGTAGCTGCTTCATTATAGCACTACTGCAGAAAATCTATAGTTCATCAAAGGGTTAGAAGTGTTCCACACTCATTCATTTCAATAGGCCTTTGTGCACCTGAATGCTGGATTGTTTTTATGGGGTTTAATGGGTATATATCTGTTTTCAGTTTCTCCCAGTAGTGCCAGACAAAAGCCTGGTACAACCTGTAACTTCAAAATAGTGTGGAAAGAGAATATCCTAGCAGCCAAGAAGAATCACATCACATTTGAACTGTGATGTATTGTGAGGAGTCTAAACTGACATACCTTAAAATTCCAGAGGAAAAATTATAATATGGTGTAAATATTCCCTCAGTTTCCCTCTTTGATTAAGCATCATTGGAAATGCATGAGAGCTGGAATGGTGTTCATAGTCCTTTGTGAAAATATCTCAATGTTCTCCACCTATCTTCCATTGATTTGATGAGCCTACTATTCATCCTTCTCATTCAAAATCACCTTGGGCTTACGAGAAATAGTGAGTCCCCAGTAATACCTTTTAATTAACTGGAACATCACCTTGCCCTTTTTCGTTTAACTCTTTCTCCTTTTTAGGTTACGTATGGAGAGGTGGCCACTAATGCACAGGTAAAGGGTGTTTTGTGGTTATTCATTTTTAATGCATGCAGAATCCTTATAAACACTCTTCTGCATAGTGCACATCAAAGAGGGAGTGGACGGGATGAGGACTTCAAACACTTCCCATATCTTACACTCAATGATAGAAGAGAACATAGAATTTGGGTGGAGGAAGTATCATAAAATGGGGAAACAACAAATCCATAAAATGGGTTGGATTCAGAGTCTCCATGAGCAAATGCTGCTTCTGGGGTGCTTCAACAGAGGAAAGTTCTTTCTTCCCCCTGCAGCCCCCTGTATGTCCAGAAAAACTGTTCTGTGGGGTTGGAGGATACTCTGGAACAGTGTGGGAGGTGATACCCTTCTCCCTGGCCCAGCCCTATCATTGGGCAGAATGAGATGGCCACCTCAGGAACCTGAATTTGACATCAGGAAAGGGCAACAAATTGTGATTTTTACATTTATTATTATTATATTCTCACTCCCAGATGCAACCCATTGCATTTTAGTAAGGACATGGCAGTGAGAATCAGACCAAAAAAAATCAAACTATTAACAACAACAACAACAACAACAACAACAACACAACTAATGGATTTTACTTGTGGACTAACTTGCATAGTAAAGTGAACTATGGATTGTTTCGATTTCACCTTTTCTAGCTTTATATTTTTAGACTGCATCCTAAACACACTTGCTAGTAAATCAGCCTACTGAACACAGCAGGACTTGCTTTTTAGGAAGCATGCATAGGATTGTGCTGTTAGTCTTTCACAGGTATATGAAGTGTACCTCTCATACAAGATGGTACCTGAAATTGCAGAAGACTCATTAACAAGGTCATCTGTTGCATCACAATCCTTCTATTGGATAGTTAAGTTCAGTATAACATAGTAGAATGTAATATAGTCCTCTCCAGAAAGAACTATATCCTCACATGTTCATGGATGCATTGATGGGAGAGTTGTGTGGGAATGGGACAATGTGGACCATCTGCTAATCTCCATGCAGTCTGATCTTCTTCCTGTCTTTTGAACTGCACATATTCAGCAGGGAGAACCTATACACCTCTAACTGAATACACAATTAAGGTTCATCTGCACAACTGGGATTCCAAATTACATGGAGAACACCTGAATGCACATAGGTGGGCAGGCCCTCCACCAAATGGAAGGAAGTTGGGAGGGTGGAGCTGGAATGGATGGAGGGAAATTTCTGAAGAGGACTAATGAAATAAAATTAGGCATCTTGAGGGAAGCTTGTCATTGGCTGAAATGCCAGCTATAGAAGGCTCAAATAAGTATCCTTCCACACAGTTCTATCTTCCTACTTCACAGAACAATGATGTGTGGAAATGTGCACCATATAACTTTGGAGATAGTAAGAAATCTGGTTATACTTTGTATATTTTTTTCCAGCTGTGAACTTGTGGTCAGTCTTTATATGGACAAAAAGAAACTGTTTCAATTACTTTTAATCATTTGCTTAGTTGTTTCTCATCAAAACTCTTCTGTGTCTTTTTTAAATAAAATCAGATCAGAGCTAAGAAATATGTCTAGAATTTTCCAACTATCTTTGTGAAATAAATATTTATGGAATAAGATATATTTATGCCTTTCCACTTATGCAGGCATGTACTGTAGATAATATATTTCACCAGTTGGCAGTGGCTACCCAGTAAGAGTCTTGTCTCAGTACCCCTTGAACCAAGACCCCAAGAAATGGCACACACAGGGCATTAAAGGCTTGAGGGTTGTTTTTTTACCAGAATCAGGCCTGGAAATGAGCCATGAGTGCTCAAAGGACTAAATAAGCCCCTCTCCATCTCAGTTGAAGTCTGACCTGAAGAAGAGTTCCTGGCTTCAAATCATCTGTTCCAGATGCCTCCACTGTCCCTACCACCCTACTAGTTTCCCCTGAAAACCAATAACCCTGCCCTGCACCCACCCACAACAGGCACTTCTGTTCACTAGAGATGGGAGAAGATTTTGGTTTCCTCCACAATTTGTAGCAAGCCTGCATGGTTTATAGCCCACCAATCATGCTCAGATTGAAACATGGACATGCAGTTTAGATCACATGCGTACAACCTTTCCAGGCATGATTTGTTCCAGCTTGCTTTCTCTCCCCCCTTTATTTTTTAGTGAGGTGGTTCTCCTCTTATCTGTTCTTTCTAAAAGACATTCCTTGAGAAAAAGATGACAACCTCCATATACCTATGGGGGTGGCAACCTTCCCTCCCCCTGCATATGGCACCCCTGAAAACCAACTAGGGACATTGTACACACAAAAGAAAGGGTACCCACATAGGTATATGAGGGTTGGCATCTATTTCACTATACAATTCCCAGGACCGGGAAGAACATCATAACGTATTGCCACTTGCGGGGTTTTATGAGTCAAATGCTTTTGGTGAGTGTGGCAAGCATCACATTCCCTAGCTGGTTTGAGCTACATGGTACATCCCAGGCCAATGATTGTGGAATAACTGTGGAACTTTTAATGAAATATCTTCCCAGCATCTGGGTGCAAAAGCATACAGCTAGCCAGATTGTGGGCTCTATTAATAATGTAATTTGTTAATGCAGTTTTTTGATCAGTGGGTTCTGTTCTTCCCCGCCTGTTATGAATAGAATTTGCTTCACATAGGAAAGGCGATTGCAATAAGAGTCTTTAAATAGTTACTTTGAGTTTGAATCAGTCATATCTGAGTACTTTTCATGTCAACAGTTCGTGCAGCTTCTGTCTGGAAATGATGCATATTGTCCTTATCTTTTATTAAAGCCCCAAGTCAACGCCCAGCCAACATTGCCTGGAAACTGACAAATTCGAAGATATGCTTGAACTGGGAGCATGTGAAAACAATGGAAAATGAGTCTGAAGTACTAGGCTACAAAGTAAGTATGTTAAACATAGGAACTCCTGTGAGTGGCTGTATTTTAAGTAAAGTATTGGTATTTTTTATTTGGATCTAAAAAGCAATTATATTCCTTCATCATCTTATTAAGTGAAATGTATTGAAGTACAGAGCATGTGCCATGTTTGATGGGCACTCAGATAATAAAAGTGGACTATCCTGAGATCCCAGAGAATCTAGATAAGTGACTCGGTAGTCAGTGCAGAAAACTGTTTTCACATGAAACATAAGTGGTGAACGTAAATACAAAATGTCAATGAGTCTTACGCAAATCATGCTGCCACAAATGTTGTTATTTTTGAAATGGAAAATATCATTCCAAAGACTATGGTATATGCAGAGGCTTTAACCACAAAGGAGATGACTGACCACAATTTAAATTAAGAACCAAAAGGCAGTTCTTCATCATCACATCTATACATCGAAGATCAGACAGATATCCTATGTCATCAGTCACATCAGTCGAAGACATAGGTTTCATTGAGGTGAATCTATGAGGCTGTACCAGTTCTCCAGATTGCGAGTTTAACTTGACCAAGTGGCCTTCTATATCCCCCTCCCAAAAAATCCATCACTGCTCCATGTAGAAAACTCGAATGGTAAATGTAGGCTAGAATCCTTTCCCCTGATAATCTAGTTCTCTACATATACGTAGGTTGTTTGTTTCTTTGTAGAACATACATATGCACCCAACTCTGCCATCTAAGGCTGCAATGAGAACTTGGCAACATATTATTATTATTATTATTATTATTATTATTATTATTATTATCCCACCCATCTGGCTGGGTTTCCCAAGGAAACACAAGAGGAGTTGTAAATTCCTGATTTATCTACAGTTTAGTAGTCCGTGGTTTTATGGATGGTATTTTATATTATTGCATTATTGTATTATGAAGCGTGCTATGATCCTAAATGGATTAAGGGCAGTCTGTAAGAGAATCAGATAAGTAAATCAGTTTAAAATAACAGGATCTTTATCATGTGACTCTTTATCTTGTTAGTCATGTTAGTCAAACTGGGTTGAAAGCCATCAAATATAAGAAGGAGAGTGATCCCTTTATTCTTGTTATCCCTATGCATGATCTGAGCAGAGTGTGCTGAGGAAACATCTGACCAATTTCTCTGTCTCTGATACATGGCTATCACCTGCAGTTGCCATTTGGAGATGTACTATGGAAAGGGAGGGAACAAGGAAGGGTATGGTTTCTATCTCTGCCTCCTCTCTTGAACTAGATGGACTGGTTATCGGCTCGCTTTGCACATCAGGTTCAACCATGCCTAAGACATGGTCTAATGATCACCTGGAGATTATCAAAGTAACTATGGCTTGTTTTTTCATACTCTGCCCTCCCTCCATGCCACCTACTTCATACCTTCAGCTGTTTCTCCATCCAACATGCCTTAAGCCTTTGTGGCAGCATCTGCTACCATTGCCTAACCCAATAGAATCATAGAATTGTAGAGTTTGAAGGGACCCTGAGAGTCATATAATCCAAAGCCCTACAATGCAAGAATCTCAACTAAAGCATCCATGGCACATGGTCATCCAACCTCTACTTAAAAACCTCTAAGGAAAGAGAGTCCACAGCCTCACAAGGGAGTCCATTCCACTGTTATTAGTTCATCCTGATGTCTAGTCTTCTTTCTTGTAACTTGAAACCATTGGTTCAGATCCTGCCTTCTGGAGCAGAAGAAACAAGCTTGTTCCATCTTCCATGTGACAGCCCTTTAGGTTTTTGAAGACGGCTATCATATCTCCTCTTTCCCAGACAAAAGATACCCAACTTCCTTAACAATTTCTCCTAAGTTTGGTTTTCAGATGCTTGATCATCTTGATTGCCCTTCTCTACACATGTTCCAGCTTGTCCATATTCTTCTTAAATTGTAGCACCCCAAATTGGACACACTACTCTGTATGTGATTTGACCATGGCAGAATAGAGTGGTATTATTACTTCCCTTGATACAAAAACTATATTTCTGTTGATTCAACCTATAAAAGCATTAGCTTTTTTGCTGCTGCATCACACTGTTTACTCATGTAAGTTAATGGTCTACTAAGACCCCTAGATCCTTTTCAGTAAGTGAGGTGTCTCTCATCTTGTATTTGTGCAGCTGGTTCTTCCTGCCTAGAATCTTAAATTTTTCCCTACTGAAATTAATTTTGTTAGTTTGAGCCCAGTTCTCCCATCCGTTAAGTTCATATTGAATTCCGATTCTGTATTCTGTGGCATTAACTACCCTGCCCCCTCTGGTTTGGTGTCATATGCAAATTCATTTAAAGTAGCTACGTGTTCCCTTACTACCTCTTTTCAAATCTTGGGCTGCAGCTTCCTCCTTGCACTGTTTATTCCATTATCACCAGGTTGGGCATTGCTTTCCTTTTGGATGAAGAGGCAAAGTAGATGTTGAGCAGTTCCACCTTCTCTCTGACACCCATTAACATTTCTCCATGCAGAGAACTACTACTTGCTTGTTGTTCCCTCTTGTTTCAAACATAGCTGGATAAACCTTTTAATATTATTTTTAACCTCTCTTGAAAGCACTGAGCACATTCTGAGTTTTGGCCCACCTGACCTTCTCCCTGCAACTGTTGGCTACTCATGTATACTATTCCTTCATGATTCCCCTCCCCTTTCTTCCATCTCTTATACATAGAATCATAGAATCATAGAGTTGGAATAGACCACAAGAGCCATCGAGTCCAACCCCCTGCCAAGCAGGAAACACCATCAGAGCACTCCTGACATATGGTTGTCAAGCCTCTGCTTAAAGACCTCCAAAGAAGGAGACTCCACCACACTCCTTGGCAGCAAATTCCACTGTCAAACAGCTCTTACTGTCAGGAAGTTCTTCCTAATGTTTAGGTGGAATCTTCTTTCTTGTCGTTTGGATCCATTGCTCCGTGTCCGCTTCTCTGGAGCAGCAGAAAACAACCTTTCTCCCTCCTCTATATGACATCCTTTTATATATTTGAACATGGCTATCATATCACCCCTTAACCTCCTCTTCTCCAGGCTAAACATGCCCAGCTCCCTTAGCCGTTCCAGGCCTTTGACCATTTTGGTTGCCCTCCTCTGGACACGTTCCAGTTTGTCAGTGTCCTTCTTGAACTGTGGTGCCCAGAACTGGACACAGTACTCCAGGTGAGGTCTGACCAGAGCAGAATACAGTGGCACTATTACTTCCCTATTACATGTCCTTCTTAAATCTCAGCTTATCTGTAAACTCCTTATGCAGACACAGATGCCTCCCATTTTTCTTGTTGGAATTGCCTGCATTTCTGCTCTCAATAGTTCAGCTTTAAGAAACTCTCATCATTTTGGACTCTCTTCTCTTTCAGTATTTCTGACTATGAGATCTCACCCAGTAGTTCCATTAAGATTTTTGAAATCAGCCTTCTTAAAGTCCAGCATGCATGCCCAACTTCACTCAGCTTTCCCTTGCCTCTGTATAATGCAGTGGTTTTCAAAGGGTGTGGTGTGTCACACTGGTGAGGCAGGAGAGGATGGCAAGTGTGGTTGGAAGATTCAAGATAATCAAAGAAACATTTGAACATTTCAGTGTAGTATAGTATAAATTTGTTTTTATTTGTAAAATATGAATAGAAAACTTTTCAAAATGAGAGCAAGAGCATCAAGTGATACTACAAGCTCACATCTCTTATTGAGTTTGTATACATACTTAAGGTACATATGTAAGAGACTTGGTTATAATTCTATTTTGGGAACGATTCATGTTTTATACTTTCTGGATTCCAATTATATTACAAAGTAGTTATGTTCTGTGTTATAAATCAAGTACTGTTGGAGTTGTTTCTTTTGGTTTTCCAATATATTTCTTATCCATTAAAAAAACACTGGTGTAGCCCAAACTTTTTTTATTCTGAAAGTGTGGCCCAGAGGAAAAAAGTTTGAGAAGCACAGGTATAATGAAACCCAAGAAGACATGATCACTTCCTCCAAAAGTTCTCAGTAGTTCCACTTTGTTGATCAGTTTCTCCCTGTTGGTGAGGACCAGGTCCAAGAGAGATCACCCCCTTGTTGTTTATTCCACCTTCCATAAAATGGAATTGTCAGCTAGGCAACTGAGAAATGGTCTGTCACCACATCCCTCTCTACAGGTCAGCTGTGAGATCAATAAATAAGTTGACTTTGTGCCTGCCTTCTTTAATTCTTAATCACAACATAAAAATGGTGCCATTATCAAAGAACTGGTTCCCCCATTCTTTCTGACATGGGGCAATAACAAATCTCTACTACTTTGCAAATAGTATTCCTGTATCTGGCCCCGTGAAATATATGTATTTAGCTGAGCTGGTGCCAGCTTGAATGAAATATTATTTGGGGGGAAGGTAAGCCCTACCCCACTTAATTGATCACAAGATGATCACACACACCATTGATCACACACACCATTTGAATGACAATGGCCATTAACTTTGGGGGAGGGGTGCCCCCTGAAACATTTTATGGGTGGGTTCAAAGGGACCTTGGTCCCTAGGAGTTGGCTCCAATGGAAGGCACTTACAAGGAGGCAAGGAATTCCTGTGACAAGGGCTTGAGAAGCACACTCAACTCAGTAGCAAATGGGGCAGGCAAAGTTGCATTGCTTACCTGACTTCTCAACCCTGCACTCCACTGCCAGTTACTAAGAGGGGTGAAGTGGTGGAGAGCATCAGATTGGTGTAGCACTGGCAAAGCAGGTAAGCAGATTTGCTCTGCCCGCACAGCCCATCTGGGCTGCTACTGATTTAGCCATTGGAAAGCTCTGAGAAGGAAGGAAATAAGTGCATTTAACTCTCATGGCTGCAGCTCAATGGAAATCACACATTATGCAAATGTGTCCACAACGGCAACTTTTTACATTGTGGAAGCCCTTTGGGCTGCTTTAAGGAACCCCAGAAGCTCCAAGGAACACAGCGAGAAGTGCTGGATTATAAGGTTGAAGATGTGCCGCTGCATGAAAGACAGGGAGGCATTGTGAACATATCCGTGCACCTCTTCAGATTCCACATGGGGAATCTCCATAGGGATTTCTTGTAAGCAACTGGAGAGGTCGGTGTTTTTGCTGAATGTGCCCACAGGGTGCTTGAAAATACGCTGCAGAAATGCTTGAGAACACAACCCACCATGCGGAGAAGCCTTAACAAAAGCAAGCGGCAATAATATAACAGGTCCTGCCCTTCTCTTGTTTTATATTTAGATTCTGTATAGGCAAAACCGACAAAGCACCACTCATATATTGGAGACAAACAGTACATCCGCTGAGCTGCTGGTACCTTTCGAAGAAGATTATCTCGTAGAAATAAGAACTGTGAGCGATGGAGGGGAAGGGAGCAGCAGTGAGGAAATTAGGATTCCAACCATGTCCAGTGAGTTACCTCACCCCCCCCCCTTCCCCAACACTGTTGCTGTGGTCCCCTGACTGCTGGGAAGAACTAAAGCTGGATAGACCTTTGACACTAACTTGATATTATGGTACTAGGTAAACCTGGGAACAGTCTCTTACCTGCCTGGTTGGGAAAAAGGAAAACCAATTAACATGAGGGGGGAAATGCAGCAGAATTTTCAGGGGGCTGCGGATCTGTGGCTTGCTGATTTAAGTGGAGGCTGCAGCTGTGTGGAAATCAGTTACTGGGTCGGGTTGAAATTAAACTCTTCAGCATAATAATCCTCGTTATTTACTATTTTAAAAGTTCCTAAAATATACTGAGGACTGTGTATAGGTTTAAACAGCCAATGTCTCTGCCCACAGGCTCCCAGTTATTTATTTTAACTGAAGGGGAGGGGAGATGGAGGGACGAAGAAACAGTTTGCCTATTCCTATGCAAAACAAGGGGTTGGTTTCCTTCCCCCCACACAATTATAGGCACCTGCACCTGTGAACTAACTGAACTGAAAAAAATCTCATGACCTATTCACACCTGTGGCCAGTGCTTTTGTTCTTTAAAAAATGTTTAGGGGGTACTCTCATATTGAGACCAAACTTAGATTCACAAAATGTTTAGGGGTATGCATCCCGTCCCCCCAAAAAAGCACTGCTTGCGGCCATCAATTTATCAACAGGCATGTTGTGAACTGTGGGAACAGGGAGTCGTTCAACTGGAAAGGAAACAAAAGGGAGGCGAAAGGAGAAACAATGAGAGGGTATTGCAAAAGATCAAGATGGAATAACATGAACATGGAGACTAGGGGGCAATTCTGTGCAAAAGGGGCAAGAAAAAAGAGATAGAAAATGGATGATTTCAAGATTGATACTAGAAAGATAAAAAGCAGAAGAAATGGAAAGAGTGTACAGAAGTGAGATGAGAGCTTAGTTCATTGAGGTGAAGGAACACCCTTACACGGAGCTTTAGGTAGGGTACATCACTGTACTAATCAGTACATGTTTCAACAAAAGCTACTGAAGAGGGCCTTAAGGGGATTTGGGGCAGGGGCAGGATATGGTGCAAAGCATGGGGGCAAATCCAGGTGTCCTCTCCACGTCCTCCCTGCCCTCCAATGATTCTTAAATAGTTGTTATTTTAAACCAGCTCTAGTATTCTGGTACTGATGGCTGGTTCTGCCTCCGCATAGGGAATCAGAATGCACAGAATGCTGGAATAAGGAGATAATACGTTACCAGGGCTGGGAGCTTAGCCGTCATTCTCCACTGCACATCAATGTCATGTCATGCCAAAGTTTATTTCTGGGTGGCTTTTCAGCCAAAGAACCACCAAAGTGGCTCACTAAAGTTAAAATGCAAGCATAAAATGTAAGTAAAGGAACGAGAGGCACATTACAAAATGCAAATTCAAAGCAGCGATCTCACTTTGTATGGATTTCTGCTACTTGCCACATTAAAATATTTGGATGAAGGGCAGATGCAAATGGTCTAATTAAATAAATAATAGTGCATTAAAAGGTTTTTTTTTAAAAAATATACAGCATAAGGGGCTCTGAAAACCAACTCCACTATCATAGAAGGCCTGGGGGCAGTACATGGCCATCCACTAGGAAAAGTAAATAGAAGTTATGAAATGTGCATCTTGAGAAAGTCAGTTGCAAGGGCTCGTTCCCCCCAGGCAGGAGGCATGATGACCCATTTCAAGTAACCCGACCACAGAGCCCTCCAAAGACTTTGGTGGGTGAGCAGTTTCATATGGGTAGAGTTAGGTTGCAAAGCTGGTGTTGTTCTATTGAATGGTACCATCAGGACAAGACTTTGGGGCAGAAATCCAGGTACCTACACAGCTGGATAAACATGAGAGCCCCAAATACTTCAACACCTGGCAAGCATGCTGTAAGCAAAGTGATACACATTTCCAGCTTAAGGGGGGTGGGGCTCCCTTGTAATATAATTAAGTCAAGAGTTCAGAATAAGCTAATTGCCCCACTGCTTTCCTTGACTGAAATCCAAACACAAAATATTAACTGGCTTGTGGGTTGAATGTCCTAGGTCAGGCACAGGCAAACTCGGCCCTCCAGATGTTTTGGGACTACAACTCCCATGATCCCTAGCTAACAGGACCGTGGTCAGGGATGATGGGAGTTGTAGTCCCAAAACATCTGGAGGGCAGAGTTTGCCTATGCCTGTCCTAGGTACTTTAGACTTTATGCATTGAACTGTACGGTTGCAAGTCTTTCACCAACGGTGGAATGAAACAGAACAATGAAACAGTGCTCCTCAAAGTGCCGTCATAGTCAACTAATAGTATTAGACCTCATCCTCCTGAAGAAAAATAATAATCAACATGATGGGTGGAGGGAAACATGCAAAGTAAAGCATGGTGATTATTAAGCACATTAAAACCAGCTCTTATCAATAATGCCTCGAGTATGTGAATTTGAGTGTACTTTTCTATCTCTGTTTCTTTTTGCAGGTTTAAGCTCCAGAGGGATGTATACCTGCGGCTCTGAAGATTACATAATGACAACTAAGATTATGATTCTGGTTTATATACTCAGCTCCTGAGTATTTTGTTGAACGGAGCCAGCAAGCAGCCATTGGACTTTTGAAAACAAAGCAGCCATTGATGGTCAGAGACTTTCCTCCCTTTCACATATTGGCACCTGTCATCTCTGAAAATGGATTCTATTGAGAAAGATAATGAATTGCCCTTTAAAATGTAAATATAATTGATTTCTTTCTCTTTTTTAAAAGCATATTTGTGTTTAAGATGTCCCCAAAATGAACAGAACAGAGCCAAAATTGTAAAAAAGAAAGAAAGAAAAAGAAAGCTAGTTTGTATTGCAGGGATCTGTTGTGAAAATCCAGTATATCTGTATGAGTTGCAGATGTACAAGATATCTACAACAACAAAACCCAGTGATCAATATGAAAAAGGCTTGCAGTTGTTTGTGATGTATAACATTAGCTGATCTGTATTTCTCACTTTGGTCTGTAATGAAACACTGTTTACTGCATTTTCAGATTTAATAAAAAATATTTCTTTACAATTTTCCCCATTTTTATCAGTATCTTGGACTAACTGAAGACTTCATTCGTAGGATGTGTATATTCTGATTTAAAATTTAAAATGAAGAAGCCATGCCAAATGAATTAACATGGATGTTGTTTTCAATGATAAACATTAAAATCAGAATATTAAGGATACTGAAGTCCCATAGACATATTCACATAAGGATGGGCTTGTTTTGTTTCTCTAGATTATACCCGTAGCCTGCATTTTGAAAATACAGTTTGAAAACTAGTCATAGTGTAGTTGTGAAAGGTGCTCATACAAGATTTTCATCAGATATTTCCATGGATGATAGGCTAACTGTACTATGGTTGAAGAAGTCCTTCCTGCTGAATCTTCCAATATTCACTTTCATGGATGACCTCAAGTTCCAGTATTATGCAAAAGGGATCAATTTTATTTCCAAAATTCCCAAACATGAATTTTCACAGCTGCAACAGACTAGGTCAATATTTTCATTAAGCCCAAGATCTCTTTCCTGGTCTGTCGGTGCCTGTTCAAACCCATTAACATAGAAGTGACAGTAGGATTTTTTGCTCCAAAGTACATCATTTCATAATCACTTGCAGTGAACTGCATCTGCCATTTTGCTGCCTGTTCACTCAGTTTGGAAATATCTTTTGGAGGTTCTTTGAAATCACTTCTTGTTTTTTACTAGCCTGAATAATTGTGTGTCACCAACCAACATGGCCATGTCACTGATTATCCCTGACTCCAAATCATTTATGAACATATTAAAAAGCACTGGCCCCAAAGCAGATCATTGGAAGATCCCATTTGTTACATCCATCTATTGTGCAAAGTCTCCAGTTATTCCTACTCTCTGCTACTTCTTGTTCTGTGAGTTACTTACCCATAAGGGTCTCTTTCCTCTTACCCAGTCCTTTGGTGAGAGACTTTATCAGAAGCTTTTTAAAATTCCAAGAATGCAATATCTAGTGGACCGTCCACTCATGCTAGAAATTAAACCTTGTACTTCCTGCATGCCAAACATGTGCTCTACAATTGAGCTACATCGTTTCCCCTAATACTTCCCATTAGTATATCAGGAAGCCAAAAACAACAGAACTGTTCATCCTCTCAAGAGCAAATGTGGTAAGTGAGGCAGTAATATACAGAGTCCAGCTGACTGTTCTAAGCTGCAGCCTCCATGGAATAACCTTTTCTTTCTTTCTTTTTCTGGTAGGAAAGAGAAATGAGCTTTTCATTTCCATCTTCATCTTCGCATGTGCAAATCTGATTAAACCTCTTGACCTACTGAGTTTGTAATTCAGACCTTGAATAAGTGGATATATAAAATTCCTCAGAAATAAGTCTAGATTGACAAACGGCTCATTTTTCTGTCATTCACTGGAATATATCATCTCAAGCACATCACCTCAAGCATTGACTATAAGCTGTCAAATGAATTAGCAGAAATGTGCAAATAGTAAAGGACATGATTAAAAGCAATCCCAGGTGAACTCAAGGCAGGGTGGAAGCGCTCTTTCTGACCACTGCCTCACAGCACACATGTTAGCCTAGGGCTTGTCGATGGTGAGCCATTTGCTGAAAATTAAGAGCTAGCAGACTTCTCATAATACAATGAGGAAAGCCTGGAATAAATTGAAACTGGCATTCAAGTGAAATAAATATAATAGTAACACTACCATCACATTCTGAAACGAAATGAAATATTTTCTTCAGGAAATTTCTAATAGGCGCTGTGCAAACTTGACATTCCAATTCCAATAACAGATCACAAAATTTGTATTTCACGTTTCTGAAAATCAGAGGGAACATGAATGCACACAAATGTCCACTGATACCCCAACACTGACTTTGTCAAACCCTTTGTCATACCAGAGCACTGTCTAAGAACCCCAGATTTGGATCTAGGCTCTAGGTTACACAAAGAACAATCCCAACCTTGGGGGGGGGTTTAAGTGGAACAACCTAGAATCCTGTCCGTTTGCATTTTCCCTTAATGCACCCTTCCTTCAGTTTCAGAGCTGCCTACAGCTAGGACATGTATGTTAACTAATACTTTTCCAGCAGTCAAAGCTATCATGTGCTATGAATGTGCATTCATTATGTTATGTTATTTTATTTTATTTTATTATTTAAACAATTTACTAAGCTGTTTACAAAAACACAGTACCAAAAATAGAACTATAAGATCAAGCTTCAATTAAAAATCTATTGGAATAATAAAAAAGTATTCAGTAGGCATTGGAAGTTTGTAGGGAGGGACTTGTCTGACCGCAATGGAAGGGTGCTCCATAAAATTGACCACATAATACTAAACACACTGCTCAAGGTGTATAGGAGCTGTGCATCCCATTCATGGGGGGGGGGGTCACTAACAGTGACTCCTCCAAAGACTTCGGTGATCAGGCAGGAATATAAGGGCAAGGAGATAATCAGGTAGGTTAAACAACGTTATGCTTCCCCCTTCATTTCTATGCTCCATGCAGTAGCTGCTAGTCCTCCCCACTCCCTCAAAAAGTGCCCCAGAGTGTCAGAATCAAAAGAAAGTGGTGAGAAGGCTTGTTAGCAAGAATTGTCGTTTGAAGAAGTTGCTTTTCTGCAGGAAGTGACTGAAGTCAGATTTACAATCTAAATTCAAGCCAAACGTATGAGCATTAAGCATAGAAATGTCTAATGACATGTTCTAGGAAGTGAGTTGTAGAGCAGGTGTGCACTGCTTGGCCAAAATGGGCTGGGGGAGGGGGCAAATGAAGAGCCCAAATCAGGCCCATGGGCCAGAGGTTCCCTACCCCTTTATTGGTATACTTTAATAAAAGCAATTCCGTGCATCTGAATCTGATGCAATGAAATGACTGCATCTGAATGCAGACGCTAAGCTCGAAGAGCCTTGAGAACGCTGTTTAGCATTGGTTAATATTTCATGATAGTTGACATTTGAAAAATGAAGATATGCGAAATTAGTTCCATCAAATTTGAATAGTCGGTGTTGGTGCTATGCCTGGCAATTTATCGACACAGCAGGCAGGTTACAATTCACACCATAGCTTCCCATGCTAATAACAATTTCAGGTTTTTCTAATCTCAATGTGTCACAAACTTTTAGGAAAACATATATGGGGGTGTGTTAAGTTGAAAATCTGTGCACCCAGTTGTTAGATTTTCTTTTAAGATAGCATTATCAAGTCTGTCTAAACCTAGAATCAGAAATATTGTTCTCTAGTACAACATTATTGACTTCTTCTTTTTTACATTTTTACATTTGAAGAGGTTTTTGGTCTTTCTATAATTGCAGCAAAATAAGGGTAGATCATGAAGCAAAAGGGCTTTTTATAATTAAAACTGGACTATTCAAACGGGAGGTTACATGATAACATTGTTCATAGACTATAGCACTTGAACAACAAGTTTGGGGGACTGAACTTTGAATTGCTTTCCTATGGAAGGCAGGGGGAAATCCTTCGCTGCGCAAAGAAAATTAGCAAATCAGGGCAAAATTCAAAAGAGATAACTGTAAAGTCCTGCATTCAGGGACCAAGAATGAAAAGCAGCAAGTATAGGATGGGGGTGACCTGGCTTGGCTGCAGCAGGTATGAAAAGGATCTAGATCCCAAGATGAACCTGAGTCAACAGTGGTGGTGCTAAAAAAAATAGCAAATGGTGGTGACATGGTGCCATTTTTGCTGCCCTGGTGGGAAAAACAAGCCCAATAATAAAAAAAAGGAATATTTTAACTGCTAAAGAAATACAGTGGTGGTACCTTGGGTTAAGTACTTAATTTGTTCCGGAGGTCCGTACTTAACCTGAAACTGTTCTTAAACTGAAGCACCACTTTAGCTAATGGGGCCTCGCACTGCTGCCGAGCTGCCGAAGCACGATTTCTGTTCTCATCCTGAAGCAAATTTCTTAACCTGAAGCACTATTTCTGGGTATTTCTGTAACCTGAAGTGTATGTAACCCAAGGTACCATTGTACAATAATGAGCATTTCCTACAAGCACTGCCCTGCCATGAGTCCCTTAAGTCTGCATTAGCACATAAGTAAGTAGCAGGGACTGGTGCCTTTATAAAATTTGAATCACACCAGCGGCGTGTCATGGCCAAAGTCTGCAGAGCTGTGAACCAAGGCAGCCTGGAGACAATGACTTGACCCAGCAGCACCTGGAGGCTGGCAGGTCTGTGCATGCTTCCTACATTCCCATCCAGCCATTAAACATAGCTCTAGCAAGATTGACAGTGGCATATTTCCATCAACCACTTGAATGCCTTTATTTAGCCACTTTTTGATACTGTGTACTTGTTATTAAATGGACGTATCTCTGTGTTTGTGTTTGTGTTTGTGTCTGTGTCTGTGTCTGTGTCTACAAACAACTTACTCTTAATTTTCTCGATTTAGATATGAGAATTTCTCACCAAGAAGTTTATTTTGATTAATTGCCAACACTAGGGTGGGCATCTTTTAAAACAGTTCTTGAAAATTGACTCCCTCCTAATCAAAATAATGTGCATCCATCCATCCATCTATTCATAAATAAGCTATAATGACTAAGTCATAGATACCTTTGTTATTTTGCCCTGAGGTGCCCCAGGCACAGTAAAAATAAGACTGGGTTGAGAAGGGAGAAAGGGGGAAATAAACAGAATGTAACCCAAAGTGTGCCACTGATTTCACTTTTGCACCCCTGTTGCCAAGAAAGCAATGGTGGGCGGAGGGGGGGGACCCTATTGTACAAGTGGAAGCCCCTGGGAAGGGCTTCTGATGATGGGGTTCATTAGGTGAATCCTACCTTGGGTGTTGTTGTCGGTTAGCAGCCTGTTGTCTTGAGGATGTTTTCAATTGTGCTCTATACATTTACTTTGATTGTACTATGGTGTGGTTCAATTCATCTGGAAACCACCTGGAACCAATGATGTGGGAAGGAGGAAGAGGAGGAGCATCAGCATATAAATATTGCAACTAAATAAGCATGCAAATCCTGAAGGTTTGTTTCCTGAAAGTGGCTAAGAAAAAACTTAAGTATGGAAGGAACTTTATCCACTCTTCAGGCTCCATCTGCACTGCATGTTCTCTGCTGTCAACGGTATGTATGAGATGCATCTCCAGA